GCTGGAACCCAGCCAACTGGGCCATCCCCTGCTGCTTCCCAAGATGTACATTAGCAGGAAGGTGACAGTGGAGCTGAAACCCAGATCCGAGCAACAGCTCACCTACTGCATCAAACACCCACCGCAGCAGCAGATGTGCACTTTTGAACATGGAAATAACAAAGTAAAAAATTAAATAAACTGTTTTAAAGATCCTGCACTTTGAAAATGATACAAAAAGTACTTCGAAAAGTTCATGGAAACAGAATTAACACATTCCTTTAGCCATAAAAATTTCAAAGCCATGTATAGTTATTTCATAGCATGCATTTTCTGTTATGTTTTTAAGGAGTCAACCCAAAACAAAAGAAAGAAAAATGAACACAGAACAGGTGAGATCGATGTTTTATTTTTTTATTATTATTATTATTTTTATTGGAAAGGTGGATATACACAGAGGAGAGACAGAGAGGAAGATCTTCCATCCGATGATTCACTCCCCAAGTGAGCGCAACGGCCAATGCTATGCCGATCTGAAGCCAGGAGCCTCTTCCGGGTCTCCCACACGGGTGCAGGGTCCCAAAGCTTTGGGCCGTCCTTGACTGCTTTCCCGGGCCACAGGCAGGGAGCTGGAAGGGAAGCGGGGCTGCCGGGATAGAACTGGCGCCCATATGGGATCCCAGGCGTGCAAGGCGAGGACCTTAACCACTTGCACCACCGCGCCAGGCCCCGATGTTTTATTTTTAAGTATTATTATTAATAAAGAATTATTTCAATCCAGTATTTTTAATATATGTCCAGGGAAATACACAGAAATATCCAGCTCCCTCCCACACTTCCCTAACCTCATTATCTATTCAATTTTTTCATTATAAGTAATTCTTCAAAAATTCTATTATACCGTGTCTTTTCTTATATTACTGTGGACATGCTAATAAACATTAAAACATCCAAACAACAAACAAAAAATAACAAGGGATTGGCACAATGGCTCAAATGGCTAATCCTCTGCCTGCAAGCATCAGCATCTCATATAGGTGTAGGTTCGTGTCACACCTGCTCCACTTCCCAGCCAGCTCCCTGCGTATGGCCTGGGAAAACAACCTGCACCCACATGGGAGACTGGGAAGCTCCTGGCTCCTGGCTCCTAGCTTCAGAGCAGCTTAGCTCTGGTCATTGCAGCCATTTGGGGAGTGAACCAGCAGATGGGAGATCTTTCTTTCTCTGTCTCTCCTCTCTGTAAAATCTGTCTTTCCAATAAAAATAAATAAAATCTTTAAAACAAACAAATAACAAAAAGCCCTAGGGCAGGCATTTGGTGCAAGGGTTAAGCTGACCCATGGGATGGCAACATCCCATGTCAAAGCACCTGGCTGGGGTCCTGACTCCTCCACTTCTAAGTAAGCTTCCTGCTGAGAGTATCTTGGGAGGACTCCGTCACCCCCTTGCTTCAGTCTGCCCCAGAACAGGCTGTTGTATTTGATGAGTGAGCCAGCAGATGGAAGACCTTTCTCCATTTGTCTCTCTGTCTCTCTCTCTCACTTTCTGTGTCTGCCTTTCAAATATAAATTAAAATACAAACTTTTAAGACCCTAGAGACTTATAAATATATTAATCCATAATAAAATATGAAGTTGCCTCATTGATATATATAACGTACCTAAAAATTAATATATTAGGAAATGTTTTTAATTCATGTACTAATTCAGTGAAAAGACAATTCCAAGATTAAATCATAATTTTTTCTAGTGTTCTATCAATTTCAGCAAGACAGAGGTATCATATATACCTCTATTTCACAATAACTACATCATACCTCACCTCTTTAGCCCCACAGTTTAAGAAGCGAGACATTAAACTCCAAAAATCACTCTTGATCCTTCTGTAATCAAATGAACTACCTGCCACTTATTTTAAGATGAACTGCTTTAGTGAGAACTTATTAAAGAAGGTAGTCTAAGCTCTTCAAAAGACAAAATACAAACTACCCTGATATCATAAAACTACTCTGCAAAAAAAATCAAAGAATATTTTATTTAATATTTAATACCAGTTTCACAGCTATAGAAAGCAGCAAGTAAACAAACCAACATACTTATAAAAGGTCTAGTGTGGTTAGTCAACTACGCTGACTCCCCTTCTATTACAGCTCTGCAGCAAACAACCCCTTCATTCAGGTGATTAGAGAATGGGGCCACGAGTTTCCTCTGAGTAACTACCAGTGACGGGAACTCACATACAAGTGTTTTTTACTAAACCTTCACAACAACCTCTTCATAAACTGTGCAAATGTTTCTCTCACTGCTCCCCACCCAGTCCTCTGTACACCTAATACCTCCTCCTCGTTCAGGTCTCACCAGTCACCTCCTCAGGGAAACTCAGTGACTTAAGGTCCCATTTGCTCATCCCCAAAAGCCAAGTGTGCAGGAAGTCAGATTTCTTTCAAAGTATTACCTAAGTATTACTATAAAGATTAAAAAATGAGCCTACAAATAAAAGTAAATCATAACTCTGAATGGAATATGCCTTTTGAAAATCACACTAAGGATACAGGAACAAACAATAACTTTCTAATAATTAATGGTCTCAACTGCCCTAATTATAAAACAAGAATGGTTACAGTGAAAACACAAAACAGAAGATGCAATCACTGGTCTCTAGCAGAAGCAACAATTCCAAAAGCTCCAGTATTCTAAGTTTTACCAGCCTCCAACTGCTGGTACTTTCTAACCAAAGTATTTGTAGTTGCTGTTTTTTGTTTTCCCTTCACTGCTGGCTTGAACTTATTGACCTCTTTTTTTTTTTTTAACCCATCTTATCTGGCTACAAATTGTAATGGTAACTTGATATACACAGCAAAGATAAGCTAGCCAGCAACCCCTGCTTGGAATTAAGAGACCCAGATTTTATGTGTTACAGCAGGTAGGTCTCTGGGTGCCCTATAACGCTTGAGGGTGATCAGACCATAGAGGTATTTGCATTTCAAAATATTCTTAAAAATGGTAATGGGCTGGGGGCTAGATAGGGAAGGCAGCATGGTAGCCTAGCAGCTACAGTCCTTGCCTTGCACATGTGGGAATTCCAAATAAGTTGTCTCAGCAGTCCCACTTCCCATACAGCTCCTTGCTTGTGGCCTGGGAAAGCCATCCAGGATGGCCCAAGGCCTTGGGACCCTGCACCCACAAACTGGGGAACTGGGAAACAAGCTCCAGGCTTCAGATCCGTTCAGCTCTGGCTGTTGCAGCCACTTGGGCATTGAATCCGCAGACAGAAGAGCTTCTTGTCTCTCCTCCTCTCTGTATATTTCACATGCCAATAAAAAAAAAAAACTCTTTAGTGGGGGAAAACTGATAATGGTGGGTGAGGTGGGGAGGAGAGATCTGAGGCATAGAGAGTTAAGCCTCTGCTTGAGACACTGGCATCCCATAAGAGATTGCTGGTTCCAGCCCAGGCTGCTCTGCTTCTGATCCAGCTTCCACTCAATGTGCCTGGGAATGTACTTGTAACCCACATGGGAGAGCAAGGTGGAGTTCTGGGCTCCTGGGTTCTCCCTCTGTCACACTGCCTTTCAAAATTAGCAATGGATTAACCTTACCTAAAGTACAGCCCAGCTAAAACCAGTTAAGGTTTTATACCCAAATTCCCTAATGTTTGGCAAATGATGCTGTAAATGCTTTTCTCACGACTCAGAACCTAAACGCAATCCGCAAAGGCACTTCTGTTGACTCGGATACCTGTACTGGCAACTAAGGCTGTTCTTCTTTTGAAAGTTCATCTTTATTTTTATGAATGCAATATTTTTCTTGTCTGTTTTGACATATTTTAATTGCCTATGTAGACATATTTTAATTGCCTATGTAGACAGAATCCATCCTAAGAACTAGACTACATTTATGAATTCTATTATAAAGTCATGGTAAACACAGAAGAAGCTGTCAGTTTTAGGTCAATACGAGTAAAAACTAAAAACAAGCAAACTCCTACTCACTTGATGCTGGCTAAATTACTGATTTTTGCCTTCGTCCCAGAGACTGAATAAGAAGCGACGTGGCCACAGTGATCTATAAACTTCGGTGCAACTTCTCAGAGCTGAGCCACGAAATCATAAGTGTATCCTAAAGAATCTCTTTAAAAGCATTAACATGGGACTAAAATCATTTTCGTCCAGCAAGCAAAATATTTTAGACGGCGTCCCTACTCTTTTTTCCTCCACTCATGTCGCATTATTTGCAACGATGAGGGATTTTCCAATTCAACAAGCCAACGGAGTCCCATACAGGCGGGACACGACGTGTTAAAGTCTACTGTCTTACCAAAAGAAGGAGGAGAAATAATCAACTGACAGAGGAGTTCACACGTCGAATCGCACAGATTTCCATTGATTTTTCGCTTTCAAACACCTGCGAGTAACCGTCCTCTCGCACTACAAACGCCGCACCGCCGCACACTCCTGAACTCCAAACGAGTGTGCAAACTTCGCAAAGGTGCAGATTCCCAACCCTCTCACACGCCTCATTCACCGCCATCCTCTCCCTGCTCCAGGACGAAGCCAAGTTCCGCAGCACCAAGGCAATCATTTCAAAGCACCAACTTTGCCTCACTTCTGTCCCCTCCAACTCTGCAACAACGCAAGCGAAACTCGCCAGGGAGAGGTCCCCGCCGGGACCGAAACTCGCACCCGGGAGCGGGCAGCGGGGCCCCACCCCCCGGGAGCCGGGCAGCCGCAGCCCCGGCCGCCCCCTCCGCGCGGCCCCCCAAGCCAGGCGCCCCCCAACCTGTCAATCACAGCGCAGACCCCCCCACCAGCAGCACCACCGCCAAACGCACCCAGCGCACGTTTCTGGAAAGCCTGCCCGCTCCGGGGCTGAGTTCGCAAGCCGCAGCTGCGTCCCCTCCTCCCGGGTCCGGGAATGGCGGCGTCCGGCTCCCTGGGGCCAACTCCGAGTCCCCGCCTGAGGAGGACGCCCCTGGAACCCGCCACCCGCCGGCCGACCGGCAGAAAGATGAAGAAACGAAGTTACCTCCGGACGGTCCCGTCGGCAAGAACAAGGGGCAGCGGGCAGGGCGGACAGTCCCGGGCGGCCAAGCTGATCCTGCGCGGCGGCGGCGGCGGCGGCTACCGCAGTGCCCTCCGCCCCATTGTTTCCCTTCCAAGAGGATCCCGGCGAAGCTGAGCCCGCGAACCAGGAAGTTCCCCGGCGCGACACCTCCTGCCGCCGCTATGGAAACGGCCCCCGCCTCCCAGGGCGGCTCGCCCGGGACCCCGCCTCCGCGCCGCCGGCCCCGCCCGCCTCACGGGCCGCCGCCAACCGTCGCCGCTGCGGCCGCGGCCGCCGCCATCTTGGCGCGGCCCGAGCGGCCCCCTTCCCGGCGGCACGTGCGCGCCGCTCCCGCGCCCCCGTGGTGCGCGCTCCCGCCGGCCCGGGAAGCGCGGGCGCGGCGCTGCAGGTGGAGGCGCGGGTCCCCCAGGGTCTCCACAGGGGCTCCCTTGACCGGTGGGCGCTCGCGCGGGAGGCCCAGCACCCACAGCAGCGCTTCGAGGCATTGCACAAAAATGACCGACACTTGGCGCACCCAACTAAAGAGTCGAAAGAATGGCTGAGACCTCTGGAGAGTAGGACGCAAGAGCGTGGCCTCTTGGAGCCAGGCTGGCTGGTGTTTTCATTCATGGCTCTGCCACCTATCTGGTATCTGACCCTGTACTAGTGAATTTTCTCTGTGCCTCAGTTTCTTCTAACGTGCGGTGGGACAGGAGAAGTATCTGTTCCTGGGGTTAGTGACCAAGTGCTTGGTGGCAAGTTGTAGATAATCATCTATTCAGCAAAATGGTATTTGCTTGTAACATCAATCACTCTTGTGTCATTTTTCAGGAACTTGCCTCCCAGTGTACACATCACGACTTTAAGTAGGCTACTGTGTGTAAGCCCATGACTGCTTAAAACTTCTTTAGTGTTCCTTTTCATCCCGTCTTTCTCCAGGTCGGCTTTCCTTTTTATATCGTGGAAATTGTCGAGAGGGTTCATCTCCACAGCCTTCCATTAAGGAGTGCCATAAAAAGATGAATGGTGTAAACTTTCCAGCACTGTAATTAGCTGACAGTTAAATGATTTATTCAGTAGACACTAGCAGAGTTTGGGCGTGCACGTAACTAAAAGGCTTCCTGTTCTTGATTCAGGAACTCGAATTACTAAGGCTGGCAAGTTGGCTGCAATTATTATCTCTCTTCCCCAGCTGGTGAAAACCAACCTGAACAAACTGGGTGCTGCACTCCATGTTGGTGGGGAGGGCAGGGAAGGTGAAGCAAGGACCCCGGGTCTGCCCTAACACAGACTTAGGCATTGTGGAGAAGGTTATGGGGTTGGATTTAGGGTTCCCTTCTACCTCTCCAGTCTTGTAATGCTAGATAAGCACTTTGGGGGTGTTGGGGAGAAAATACAGATTCATACCTGTCAGTGGATCTTCCCTCATTCTTCTGAACCAGGTTTCTTAAGATATGTACATTTTTTTTTTTTTTAGGATCCTGAGAACAAAAATGGTCTAACAAGTTTGATACACGGAGTAAAAGCAGTGCAGGAATTTGAAGGACTAGGGAAGCTTTTTCAACACCTGAACACTTGGGCCAAAGTTATTGAAGACTCTGGTGAGTGGTCACACAGATTGGCTGCCCCCTATTGCTGACAGCCAAAGCCACAACTCCATGGAGACTTGAGGATGTCCGTAAGGAACATGAATGGCAATCCATGTGATACCCAGAAATCACCTGTCGCGCTCTGCAACCCTATGAGCAGGTATCGGGGATTCTCTGGTGGCTCTTTGCAGCTTCACCATCAAATGATTACGCTTGTGTCCTTGCCCACCGAGATCAATGTGTCTCTTCATTCCATTTCTCCACGAACTTTGTGTAGTTTCCTCGAGTTGCTTCGTGAGCCCTCCCTGGATCTGACAGATTGCTTTGCACATGGAAAGACCTTCAGTAAGCAGTTACTGAGCGAAACAGCTGTGCTTGTGTCGGGACAGCTATCACTGAGGCCAAGGGAACCACAGGCACAGCAGAGGCATCACCTAAGGACCATTACTGCAAAAACCACACACAACCCCCACTCACCAGCAAGTGAGGTGCTGGGTTGACAGCCCTAGCCACACCGTCCCATCTGCCACCAGAAAGTGGAAATTTCAGCTGGTTTGCTGTTAGGAGTAATTTTTTAAAACTCCTTTGGGCTTGATTGTGAGTAACATTGGTTCAATCTTACATGTCAGTAGTAACACTCTGATTCTACACGGTGTTATTAAGATTCAGAAATCCCACGTGTTTCAAAGTGTCAACAGCCAGTCCCCTCCATTGAAATCCTGTGCTGTGAAGTACAGGAACTTGCCATCATTTTTTGTTATTGAGCACCTCTGTAATACTGGTAAAAATGAAGAATGAGGGAATTTTTATTTACTACCATGTCCCCAGCACAATCTTTGTCATCTGGTAGGCATGCAGTATGCCTATGCCATCTGCCTCAGGCATAATTGGCAATATGTCAGTGTAATATGTTATCTCTGGAATATATTACATATAGAATGGATGTCAATGATTATGAAGGAAATTAAGATAGGATCATCTTTCCTGTATGTCAGGGATGCACAAATTTTTGCATAAAGGGGAAAGATAAGGAATCTGAAAACAGCTATGGACAACATGTGTAAGAATAGGAGTGGCTTTGTTTCACTGAAAATTTACTTACAGAAATAGGTGAACATGACCGAGAGGGCTATGGTTTATCAATTTCTGCTCTAAATAATTACATTGAATAATTAGCTTATGTCATAATTTTAAGAATTATACTTATATTCCCTTCATTATTTATTTCTTCTAACATTAAATTGTGATACTATAGTACTGTTCAAGTGAAGAAAGTATAAAAGCTTAAGACATCCAAAAAGACAAAGAGGTCAAACAATTTGTTACTAATTATTATATTTCACAAACACCAAAGATTGAAGACTGCTTCTCACATATTAATGGAATAATAAAATGGACACCTGCACTTCATCTTTGCAAAAGTTATGTGTTATGCTGGTGACAATACTTAAAACACTGCAAAAAGTAAAAAGTATAGAATCTTGTGCTAAGGCCAGTAGTGCAATTTGTGGTGGAGAACATAAGAATGCAGAACAGGGAGGGGAAAAAGATCTCCCAAAGCAAATTACCTGCCCTTCACCATCATCTCCAAAATACAGATGAAAGTATTGGCTCTTAGAATTGCCTGTAAATTGAGATTTTGAAATGTGAATCCATGGCTATTTGATCTGTGTACTTGTTTTAAAAGGGACAACTGGATAGTTCTCAAGGTGGAGGAGGGGAGCAGCTAAGGCTGTGGATATCCTTGAAATGTACACACAGACACTCACCCGTCACAGTCACTTGTGGAATTTGATAAGAAGCCAGTGCTCTTCTATTGATAAGAAAAGTCAGTTCCAATGTTACTACATAAAATCATTTTTTTCCATGGGAAAAAGGATCAGTCAACATCTGTATACCCAGTGTAAGTGAAAAAGCAATGAGTCAATCAAAAATCATGTCCCCCTTGCTATATAGAGAAATTATCCTTTGGCTTAAAAGAAATGTTTTTGATTACAGAGCAGGGAGTCCAAGGAAGGACAGTGAACTGCATAAAATCATATGTGAGATGCTGTGTCCCATGGTTTACTTATAATTGTTTGAGGCTATCTTGTTTTGCACTTAGTTCTGGATTGGTTGGTTGGTTGGTTTCCTGCCTCTCCATCTTAACAATGTACATGGCCATGACTTTGGGGGACCTACCTGGCTTCTGCTATATTCTAGCTGTTGGCCCCATTGCCTAACACAGGATCATCTCGCCTGAAGAAGGAATGGAAGATGAGAGCAGAGGAGGAAGAAAAAGTAGAGCAGGAAGGAGGGCAGAAGGAAAGAAGAATTGAAAGAAGAAAGGAACAACATGCATTTTGTCAGTATTCCTAATTTTTTTGTGCCAAAGGGGTCTGTGACCCACTCCCTCCCCTGCAAGAAAATAAAAGAGAAACAGGACTGACTGGTTTTCCACTATAAAAGCTGCCTCTGCTCTTGTGCTCACAAACCACCCAGTTCCTGATTACACACCAGAGTGGTTATCATGGTTTGCCAGCAATCTATAATGATGCCATAGCATTTGAAAAATATCTCATTATGTTTCTACAGCTTTGGAGAATTTCTTCTGCCTGTTTAAGTAGTGATACTTCAACCATCCTCTTGGCCACTTCTTACATATCATGCCAATTTTTTTTTCATTAAAGATATAAGATACTGAAAAACTGAAGCACAATAGATACTTTCCATCTCTAAGGTTGGGGTTGGTTGTCTGCTTTGACTTGTTCCTCTACAAAATGGAACTAGTAATAGAATCTACCTCATGGGGTTCTCTGGGAGAACTAAATAAGATTATGTATGTAAGATGTTAAATCCAATGATGGATAGATAGGTAGTAAACACTCAACAAATATTAAATACTACCATGCTGTATAATTGTCACTTTATCATAAGTTTAATGATGCCAATAATATCTCAGTGACAGTTCAGTGAGAAAGAGAAGAACTACTAAAATATTACAGAAAGATTAAAGTCAAGGTGATCAAATACATACAGCTTTGCAAAGAGTGGGTGCAAGATGGTTCAGATTAGACCACTGCTATATTTCAGGCTATTTCACATCAGCTGTGGACAGACACCAAGTCAGGAAACTGAAATTTGCAGAGATAATAAAATATAGCAGATAATCATGGCTGGCTCACACCCGCCCAGTAGTTCAGGTACTAGTAACTGTTGGGAATATTCTTTGAAGTTCAGCCCACTGCAAGTGTTTCTGTTACACATCTCACATATACAGCTGCTGCTACTACAGGAGGGAGGACACGCTCCTTGGCCCATCCCCATCCCATCAGTACCCTTCATTGGCCCAACCTGAACATTTTCAGGGCTTTGCCAGCAAGAGACTCCAGGCAATGCAGCTCCACAAAGAGCTGTTGTTCTCCACTATATGCAAAGCATTCAACACCAAGTCACTTACTAATGATAACTTACTGTTTGTTTAGCACATTCCATAAAAGCTCTATGAGGTAGGTGGAAACCATAGCTCATGGAGCTTAGTGATACGTTCAAAACTGCTTGGA